GCAGCCGTTGCGCTTCCCCCACAGCCTGCTGCTGGAGCACTTGCTCAGCTCCTGGGAGCGAATTCCCAAGAAGGTGATTGCTGGGAGGGGTTGGCAGGCTGCGCCGCGCCGGCTTCCATCTCATATCCCCGGCTGCCACCCTCCCCCAGAAGGGCCGCTGTGTCCGCTTGGCGTGAGCACGTGGGTCAGGCCTCGTGTGCTTAGCCGGACTCGCCCCCTAGGTGCAGAAGTCTTTGCGGGAAACCATCCAGTCCTTCGTGCTGGCCAACCAGGAACTGCTGAGGAAGGGCAGCGGCAGCCACCCAGACGTTGTCGCCTGTGACGTGGCCTGCAAGGTGCCACCCAGCCCTCCAGCCCACATCCCATTCTGGCATGCGGGGGGAGGGGGGCTGTACCACACTTCCTCGCCCGCCCCAGGAGACCCTGCCACCTCAGGGTTCTTCCTGGAAGGCCTGGCGGAGTCTTTCACAAGCCAGGACCAACCCTCTCCCTCTCCCCAGGGCCTGTTGCAGCAGGCTCGGGGCCCTCGGCCACCCTGGACACGACTGCTCCTCTTGCTGCTGGTCTTTGCCATCGGCTTCCTGTGCCACGACTTCTGGTCCCACCACTCTTTCCAGGGTAGGCAGGCGCTGGTCGGCCAGCGAGACGATGGCTGGGCGGGGCACAACTGTCGTAGCACACACCACAGCAGCTCCGCTGCCCGATGTCTATCCTGACCTGTCCCAGGTCTCACTTCTGCAGTGAGCACTTCAGACAGACGGGACATTCCTCTCCAGGTCAGCCTGGGACTCTTCAGCATAGAAACATTTGTGTTTTCATGTCACCACTTGAATAGGCACCATCTCCTTTTACCTCCTGAGGAAGCTCAGGCTCAGAAAGAGCAGATGTTTTCAGGTCACAACTAGCAAGGAGAAGGGCAGACCCTCCACCGGAGGCTTCCCTGCAGTGCCATGTCTGCTTGCTGGCTCCTCGAGGGAAGGGCTCTGCCCGCTGCCCTGCGTGCCTTCCACCCAGCAGCTCCAGGGCAAGCTAGACAGCCCACGATTTGGTGACACACTGGAGCCCTGCCCAGTGCCGCCAGCTCTGGGCCCTGGGGTATCCGTCTCCCCCAGTCCCTACCCATTGCCCTCCCAGCTCACCAGAGGCCCCTTTACTCAGCTTCCCTTGCTGGCCGGGTGCTTCAGTCATCTGGTTTCTTGCCTGCCAGCCAACGAGTGTGTGCCACAATCCATTCCTACAGCCTGCGAGGCTACAGGTGAGCTCCTGAAGGGGAGGGGAGGGAGGAAGGCTGGGCTGCCACGGTCCCACCGTCCTTGGGGCACTGCACTGGAGCCTCAACCCCTCCCACCTTCTGCAGCTGGCTGGAGGGGACTGTGCCCGTGTGGGGCGCCCACTTGCTCGCCGCCGTGCGTCCCAGCTTGCAGCTGGCCTGGGCTCACGCCAACGCCACGGTCAGCTTCCTCTCTGCCCACGGTGCCTCCCACCTTGCCTGGTTCGGCGACGGTCTCGCCAGCCTCTCCCAGAGGGTAAGCCAGAGGCAGCTCGCACGAGGACCAGTCTCCTGGGGGCGGCCCCCACAGCCGGGTCCTGGGGCCATCCCGGCCCCCAGCACTCTGACGCTGTTGTTCTCTCCAGCTGCAGACCCAGCTGCCGGACTGCCTGAGCCAGCCGCTCCACGCCCTCAGTGAGCTGCTGCTCCTCCTCCACCAGGGCGTGCTGCTGCCGCTGTGGCACCTGTCACTGGAGGCCCTGGCCCAGGCCCAGGAGCACTGCCACAAGGCCTGCAGGTGATCCCCCCCCCCGGCTGTCCTGCCCCGCGTGCAGGCGTCTCATGCCAGTCTCCCACTGCCCTGGCTCATGTGGCTGCTGGGTGGGTCATGGGTCTGAGCTGCGCCCCCCCCTGGCCGTCTGCTTCCTCCAGGGACGAGGCGACCTGGAACTGTGTGAAGACTCAGCTGAGCGAGGCTGCCCGCCGGGCCTGGCTCTGCCTGCAGGACATCATGGTAGCCTTCCTGAACTGGGTGCTCACTGTGATTTCCCAGCAGTAGGTCCTGCCCCATGGCCGCCAGGTCCTGCGTGCGCCAGCTGCCCGAGACTGCTGGGAGGAGTGGGGGTCGTCCTCTCTGGTGTCGGAGCTCTGTCTCCGAGCAGGTGGCCAGCTGCCTCTGCGCCAGTTTCCCCATTCGCTGCCTCCCCCAGCCACTGATCACTCTGGCCCCATGTGCACAGCTCCAGCCTCTGTCCTCGGGCTGGGAGCCTCACAGCTCCACTTCGCCCAGTCTCACTGCTGAGGCCTGAGACAGCCCCCGTCCGGAGAGACGGGGTCCCGGCAGGTGGCTTCTGCTTCTGCAGACTTGAGCAGCCTCATTCCCATCCTTGCTCACTTAAGCCACCACGGGAAAAGGAAGGGGGCCAGAGGTCTCTGAAGAGGATAGACCTACACAGGCAGCAGCAGCTGCGCCTCCGCCCAGCACCTGGGTGTGGCTGTCAGGGGATGGAATGGGGGAAACGCCTCACCCCAGAGAGCCCGGCTGAGGCCCTTCGCAGCCCTCCTGGCCCCCCCCCCGGCCCTGCTTCCTCCACTGCCCACCCTGTTTGGAGAGGAGGACCCAGGTGCATCGTCTCGTGCCTCGGGCCCAAGGGACCTTGCATCAGCCTGTTGGGGCAAGATGCGGGTTTGGTTCTTGGGTCTGCCAGGTGGAATAAAGGACACAGATTCGATTTCTGGCATTCCTTCCTGCATTCTCATGCAGCAACGCCCACGGTTCTGAGCAGGACAGCATCTTTGTGCCCTACTCTCCTGGGGTTGGCTGCCATGCTGTACTCGAGCCCTTGCCTGAAGGCCGCACCATCAGTCTAGAGCTTGGCCTACTGTGGGTTCTCGACCCCTGCTCCCCTCGGTTGTCTAACCTGTTGCGCTGATCCATGTCCCAAGAAGGGCAGAGGGAGTCTCCTTGGGAATTCTCAGCCAGTGGTCAGGGGTGCCCTTTTCTTCCAGGACCTGGTTTATTAAAGCATTTGTTAATAAAGCAGTGAGGGAAGGACGTGAACCCAGGGTTTGTCACCAAAGCCCCTTCTAATTTTTGGTCTGAGGCCCTAAGTCTGATAACCACACTGGCTTTTCAATTCTCATGTCATCTCTTTCCTTTAGTGTCCAACTCCAGCCAGGTCTGCCGCACACTCTGACTCTGGCTGGTCTCGTTTCCCTCGCAAACGCCTACCGCAGTTAGCAGGGATGACAGCCAGTCCACCTTACCTTGGGCTGCCTAAGACTCCCTGGCTTTTCCAGGCTGAGAGTGTAACAAAGCAAGTTAGGAAACTTGACAGGAAGTGAAGTGGTGAAGACGACATTATCCTCAGACTTGGCCCATGGGCAGAGTGCTTGCTCTCCTAGTTGCAGTTGGCTGTTTTTCTGGAGGCAAGAAACCCCCCGTCAAGAGCCAAGACCGGGACTGCTGGGCAGGGTAGCGCCTGTTTTCCAAGCAGGTTGGAGAAGGCGGGGGTGGTCAGCTGGGTTCGCTGCAGCACAGGGAAAGCAAGACGGTGCCGTTCCAGCTTGTGGTGAGGCCAAGGCCACTGGGCTGGGTTCTGTGTGCCCAGCAACTTGGGGCATGCCATGAGTGCTGGACTGGCAGCTAGTGTGTCCTGTACTGACCTGGATTCTAGTGCCGCTCTGTCAGCCTGGGTGCAGCGTTTTTCTCCATCAGCCTGGATTAGCTGGGGCCTCCACACTGAATTTGGTTGGCTTTATTTGATAGGCACAGTCTTTTGGACCAGTGTTAAAATTGTCCAGTCCAAAGACTGGCCCAACACCACCTGCTCTTCAAAGCAAAACCAGTTATCTCGATTTGGCAGAGCTGCCAGCCTACAAGTCCAAGCTGAGCCAGTAAATGACCATGTGGACTAGCAAGTAACAACAGGGGTGCTGACAGGCAGGCAGGGGGACTGTCACTGTGGGTCCTGTTGTCCGAAAACGGAAGGAAGCTGACACCATGGTCGCATCTGGACATAACTGCCAAGGTCCAGCCGGTGGCATCATGGGGTGAGTGGCTGTCACCACCTACGTGCCCATTCTCACGTGGGCCTGAGAGTCACGCACGGCCTGAGATACTCCTTTCTATATCCTAAGTCTCGAGTTTCTGCATTCTGCATTCCTCTGGTGGTTTCTGTGTTCATACCATCCTCCGGGTGCCACCACCAGCCAGGCATGGTGGTGTGCGCCTGCAGTCCCACCACTCTGGGAGGCTGAGGTGGGAGAATCATATGCACGCAGGAGTTCCAGGCTGCAGCGAGCCATGATGGCGCCACCACACCCCAGCCAGGCTGGCAGAGCAAGATGCTGTCTCTAAAGCATAATAGGGGCCGGGCATGGTGGCTCAGCCTGTCATCCCAGCACTTTGGGAGGCCGAGGCTAGGACTGCCTGAACCCAGGTGTTTGAGACCAACCCGGGCAACTTGGTGAGATCTCATCTCTACAATAAACCTAAAGCTAAATTTTTGGGTGTGGTGGTATGCATCTGTAGTTGGAAGAGTGATGTTGAGCATTTTTTTCATGTACTTAACCATCATTATGTCTTCTTTGGTGAAGTGTCCATACTTTTTTTTTTTTTTTTTTTGAGTCGGGGTCTCTAGCCCATGCTGAGTGCAGCGGCACAATCACAGCTTGCCACAACCTTGACATCCTGGGCTCAGGCGATTATTCCGCCTCAGCCTCCCAAGTAGCTGAAACTGCAGGCCCACACCACCACACCCAGCCAATTTTTTTATTTATTGTAGAGTTGAGGTCTCGCCATGTTGCCCAGACTGGTCTTGAACCCCTGGACTCAAAGTGCTGGGATGACAGGTGTTGGCCACTGCACCCAACTTTTTTTTTTTTTTTAACTGAATTGCTTTCCTATTTTTGAGTTTTAAGATTTCTCTATATTTTGGATGATAGTTCCTTATCAGCTATGCCTTTGCAAATGTTTTCTCCCAGTCTGAGACCTTAAAGATTGTGTTAACAACTACTTTGTCCGTTACCTACCAGAAAAACAGGTTTATTCCTTCCATAGTTTGTATGTTCCCAAATAGCAGCCCAGCCTTCTCCCACAGAGACTGTTCAGATACGTGAGTAGGTGCTGTTGACTAACAGCCCACTTCACTTGCACAGCCATGAGAGGTCCTGCCTGTCCCAGACAGCTCCATGAGAGGTTCCTGTACACATTTCAAGTCATAGCCCCGCCCACCAGGTCCCAGTAGTGGATCCCTGGGGAGATTCAGGCCAAGAGACTTCTAACTCTGGGGCTTTCATGTGAGAGTAGCCACACAGAACAGACAGGGCAAGGACACCGTACCGAAAAGGAAAGCCCAACGGACAGTTGCCTCACTTGAAGGAGGATCCTGCCATCCACTTACGCAGCCTCATCTGGCCGCAGGTTCCATGACATGTGGGCCTGCAGCCACTCCCCCTTGGTGGCCGGCCCTGGCTCTGTGCCCTACTGAGGGACCTGGGTGGCGGGTACTCATCGGGGGCAGGACACTGCCATGGAGGAGTGTGCCACATTCGGCAGGCAGGCAGGAAGAGAGGGCACTTGAAAGTGACACCAGCCAGGCTCGGTGGCTCAGCCTGTAATCTCGCGCCTTTGGGAGGCTGAGGTGAGTGGATTGCCGGAGCCCGCGGGTTCGAGACCCGCCTGGGCAGCGAGACCTCATCTCTACAATAAATCAAAAAATCAGCTGGGCGTGCTGGC